TGTTCACACGCACTCCGTTGCACGTATTCGGGGGCGGGTCATTAATCAAGAATTTACGTTCATGTACTATCGTATGGTACCTGGTACCTATCGATATTAACACCATCTGCATAATCGAGTTGACTATTAGAATAAGACGTCTTAGTCAGCAGTTGTTGTGCGTGTTACGTTTACAGCTGCCCAGTTGTTTGCTATCCAACCGAGCGCACTTCTTTTATCGTCTTTCCAAATGCGAATCTGATGTAGGGTTTTTACAATTTTATAACAATGCAAACATTCGTAAATAGCATTTAAGTGCCTTTTAAAACTTATGTAAAAGAATTGTGATCTACTTTGTAATATTCATACATGAAGGAGAATCTTCTCCATAGACTAAAAGTGTGATAAATGAAAACTGAGCAATTAAAACAAATTTGTTAAACCGAATCAGTTCAGCGATTTGTTCCCTTAAGTCAATCTTTTATTTTTCTTCATCGCCAGTTTCCTCGAAACCTGTTTTTTTCTATATAGTTTTTAAAATAACTCCACCATTTTTCATTCAATCTTCAAGAAATTTTCACAGAAAGAAGAAAAGATGAAATAATAAAACTTAGTGTGTGTGATGCATTTTCGATATATGGAATAGGGTTTAAAAATCACTAACAAAAATCTATCTCATATATATATAAACGTTTTTTGTTGGTGGTTTTTGGAGTGTAGATTTTCACGCAATTTTTGCTAACGTGAATACTACCTCAGAAAAAAATTCACTAAAAATGCCTTAGTACGTTTAGGAAAAATTCATCGACCTGTTTTGTAGCTCTATTGTTTGCCAAGATGCACGCAAAAAACACAATTTATTTCCATGTAAAATAAATGCCGTATTACTTACGTAAGACATGTCAACAAAATGCAATATGGCCGCCCTATCCAAGGAAAAGATTTTTTTTCTTCTCAAATCTGATTGCGGATTTGAAGACTCCTTACTATGCTTGCTATACGTTGGAATTTTGTAACATTTGGTCCTGTGATAAGCGAGATAGCCTTCAGCTGCAACCCCCCCCCCCCCCCCCCCCCCCCCCCGCGCCCCCTCTTAAAGAGAATTGGATAAATTGGAGTGAATGTGTAAACAAAACACGGAGTTTGACAAATCAGACATTTTTACTATACGAAGAATCAGATACGAATTATCGCTGAGAGTAACTTGGGCTTTACATATTAACCCTTTTCGCGGCAACCCATTTATATCCCTTTGACCGACAACTGGGTGCAACACACCAGCACGTGTATTATACAGTGGGTTCCAAAAGAAACGTGAAAAAGTAATCATCCAATAATCGGGTTAAAGCCATCCACTACTCACTTATGCAGCAAACCAACGAAAAGATAAATGAATTCTGCATCATCTGACACAATAATATTTCATATATATTTTAAGAAACGCCAGAGATATGGTCATTCAAAATTGACCTTAAAAAATCAGGCTTGGCAAGATTGTGCGAAATCACAGATTCGTTAAATTGTCTTCGCGCGTGTATTGGGGACCATCAATATTGATAGAATGGACATACATTCATATACAATGAATGGAGATTTTTTAAATCGACAATAAATAATATTTAATTTCGACAGTTTCAAACAAAACAGAAAACAGCGAATGACAAATACCACGCAAAACTTGGACTTAACTTTAAATATTATGCTTATTGTTATTTTACGTTGGACCATTTGTTTGTCAGGTCAAGAACCCTTTGCGCATCGGCTCTACTAAATTTTGGACAAATGTCTGTCATTTTATCCCAGATGTCACAGACGGTTGCAAACACAGGGTATGAAGAGGGAGCAATGTCGATTTCCTTCAGCTGTTGTTTTACGAGACTTCACATAGCTGTAGGATTTATATCGGGGCTATTTACTGGGGACCCCTCCAACGTTGATATGATATAGTTTTCCTAGATTTGTCTAGTGATAATAATGACCCTATGAGAAAGTGATTTGCCATGAATGGAGATGTTTACTTGAATGACACCATGAGGGAAATAAGGGTAAGACATGATGCTCCAACACTTGCGCGATGTAGTCAACTAAAGCAAGCCATCCGGTGATTCACATGAAGATGTTTTGTTCATTCCATCTCAGACCTCTTTCATGGTCTCTGCTCCTCACTGACAGATGATTAGTCCAAAATCCGACTAACACAGCCAGGTTCTAAAAGGTTTGTGCTCTACAAGAAAATCAGTAGCTCTTAAACGAAATCAAAATCATACCAGTGAGCGTATGTTTTGCGTAAGGTCCAATCTGATCAAGGAGAAGCCGGAATGCAATAGCTTTCATTTTCAGATTAAAAAAAAAAAAAAAAATCGTCATTTCTAAGAACATAATCGACAAATAAATGATGATAGATCTATTTGCAAAAAGTAAATTATGTTTCTCGGAGTTCATTAATTCTATGGACCCAATATCAAAGTGAAATTTGACATCGTCGTTTTAACTAATGTAGCAACATCAGCTTCACAGAGCAATAAGAAAAGGATGAGGGGAGGAGGGCAAATCCACTCTGTCGCTTCAGGTCCCTTCCCATTCGCCTGCCTTTCCTCACATTTTTTTTGTCTGCGAAAGGGGGTGAAAGGTCGATCCACTGTGTTTGTACCTTTAGTTAACGATCCCTCACTTTTTCAGCAGTATGTTAGAGTGAAGTGAAAGGGACGAAAGGCGAACCCCAGTGTAGCGCGCAACGCATTTGTTGTTGATTAAACACAACATTCGCCAAAAAAGGGAGGTGAGGCGGATACCCCCCCCCCCAAAAAAAAAAAAAGGTAGTGAAGGCGAATCCACTATGTTTGCACGTTAATACTCGTTCATCCAGAGCCAGATCTGCGACAGACATCGGCGATCATGGTTCTCCATTCATTCCTTTGCTCGGATGCTCTAAAAAAAGCTGATCTTCCCACGTTACCTATTTGCCTAAAATATGTTGTTCTGGGCCTACCCCTGCCTCGCTTGCCCTCAGTTTTTCCAGTGAGAGCTAGATGTTCAAGACCCTTATGTCTATTCAGATGTCCCAAAACTGCATTTGTCGTTTGCTGATGGTTTTTAACTTTGAGTGTCCCACGTTTGCACGTTAATACTTATTCAAAATAGTAGAGCGAACTGTAAAACATGTCGTACATGCGTACGTGATATTAGAAAAACACTTTTGTTGTGTGTGCGTCAATAATAAGTTTTAATTAAGTCAAACAAAGGCGACTTTGCTCCCAGTTCAGACAATTTGTTTGCAACTCTCTGGGATATTTGAGATGCTCTGACGGATAACGATGTCCAAAATATAACACAGTAAATGTCCAAAGTATTCGAGGTCTTAACAATACCAATATTATCTTCTAAACAAAATACTTATGAGAACGTGTAATTTTTTGTTCAAGTATTGTGAGACTGCCCTGTTTTCAGAGGATGAAAATGTAAAAAGTAAAAGTAAGTATTGACAACACAAAACATCTCCATTCATTTTGCATACAATACAGGCATGTAGGGTAAATCTCTGTGTTATAATTTAACTGATTTTGTTCACTTCCTCTTGTGCATTGATGGGTGTATACAATACTTCAATCAAGAAGTCATTTCCGTCTCTGTGAAATAGAACGAACCCCCACCCCCCCCCCTCCGTGCGGTGTCACTGACTGAAGTGTTTTGGGGTCATTCCCAAAGGGGGGGACATTTCTCGTTCTAATGCACAGTAGAATTGTAGATGGGCTTATCAAACAATGTCTTGCTCATAACTGTGCCTGAACTACAACAGGGAACCGCAACTTATTCTTTCCAAATCCTTACTAGCGTCATTTACCTCTACTTCTTTTGTATGTTTGTCACTCTCTTGTGACCCGCTATTTCCGGGGTGCCTTGATAGTCGAAGCAGACCTTGTGCTGTTGATGCTAGAGAGGTGAGCAGAGCAAGTCTGATTTCCTTTAAGGACTTCTCTGTTGACATCCACCCCTCGGCGCTCATATGACCTTATGCAGTTGCGAGCGCCGTAAAACGTCTACTAAATAAAATAGAACGATACAGAGAAAACAGGAATGCCCAGTTACTTTTGACCGTGAGTACATAAGACAGAGTCATTGGTAGTCCAATACGTGCCACATGTTCTCATAGCATAGGTTATTTCCTAACGCTCTTCGATCTACGTCACTGACATGCAAGCACTGCGACAGAGACTGCGCTTCAAACATAGGAAGAATTAGCCATGAAAGAAGCTGCTTGAAGACAACCTTGAGGCCATCTTAAGCTAAATTGACCGTCTGCTTAGACGAAAAGAGCCAAATATATACTCTAAATCATTATCTTCAACCGTTTAATACATCACAGGTTTTTGTCTTGATACCTAATCTGTATTGACTGACAGCTTTTCCCAAAGGCGAAACGTGGAAAGTTTTGGTGACATATGGTTATGACAACAAAGTAATGATTGAATAGTCACGGTCAATGTTGTTGGAGAAGGGGAGATAGAGGGGGAGAGAAGGAGATAGGTAGATAGATAGATAGATTGATAGATAGATAGATAGGTAGATAGATAGATAGATAGATAGAGAGACAGATAGACAGATGGATAGATAGAAAAATAGATAGATAGATAGATAGATAGATAGATAGATAGATAGATAGATAGATAGATAGATAGATAGAGAGAGGGATAGAGAGAGAGAGAGAGGGGGAGTGGGGAGGGGAAGGAAGCGATAAGAGAGCAATAGGGAGGAGTAGGAGATAATGAAGTGGGCTGATGCAATGGAGCAAGGGTACAGAGGGTGTGTGGGTGTGTGTGTGTG